CAAGAGTTTTCTCCACTGTGGTCGAACTAACGTGAATTCCTCCGACTTTTGAACCACTCTGCGATAACTCCGATCATTTTTCCACTATTTATATGGTCCCGCTAACCAGATGGGTTGGCCAATTCATCAATCTAATCAACTAGTTGATCGGATTTGATAAACTTAGAAGCATTAGAATATGGTGTGGCGAACCATAACTCATTTGGTGAAAGAGTTTATGACCTGAATAAGACCTTAATTTCAAATGATTTAATACTCTTGATACCCTGAGGTACACCTCTACAGCAATTACACCCTTCTTTCTTATAACAATAATTTGATTATATGAATGTTTTCGAGCACGCAATTAAATTATTTTTAATATAAATATAGTCGTAAGAAAATATGAATATTAGCGCATTTTCACGTGGAAAACCAACTGAAATCATTTGTCAAACAAAGATGATTGGATTGAAAAGGTGGCAGCAATAGAAACTGAGATGTTGGATTGCGCGTTGGAAAATTATTTACTTCTTAAGATTGTCAACTATTTTCCTTCCGACATATAGAATTAAGAAACAAATCTAATGTGAGAAAACGATTTATAATATTCTATATTTTTTGACAGTGGGGTGTGCGATAGACTTACCCCCACGTGGTGCAACCTGGGCAACGTATGCTCATACGGCAAAAAATGTCTCTTAACCGGCAGTTGAATTCTGACTTTAAACTACCATGACCCCACTGTATGTCATAATCGACCACTTTCACAGTACTTACCTCACCTTTTCTCTATCTTTGTGTCTGTCACTATTACATCATTGAAACTCTCTTCTGTTCCCCACCCCTCGACTTTTTTCACTTTGATGTTCCTTCCCTCTATGAAGCCCGAAGTCAACTAAAGAGCTAATGATAACCATCAAAACGCCTGCCATTTGATGTTAATAAATATTTTTTGCCAATGTGAATGGACAATTTCGTTTAAGATTGCATACAAATAGTAGTATAAAAGGAAGAAACTCGACAATGATCTATCGATTTCACTTTCTAAACAAACACTAGAGAACTTCCCACCACATAAAATCATATTCGAATAAAGGTAAGACGGCAAAAAGTCATTATTGTTGGATTGGTAGCAGCTAAGGAGTTTTTTGGCAAAAGAATACACAACCCCCTTAACTCGACTCCAGATTAGAGAATATCGAAATTGACCTTGACTTAAGTGCATATTCATTTATTCCATGCAAAATCTGTTTAGTTCAGCCATATTGAAGGCAATTCATCACTATCGAAGTTGACACTTGTTATATGTGAATGCAATATTCTCGGCACTAACCTAAAACTCTGAAAGCTCTAAGACAGGGACACCAATAGTGAACTCTAGAGGTAGAAAATATCCAAAAGTTAGTTACTTCTCTCATAACAAGCGTATTAGAAACTATTGATCACCACGTATGACTGACATATCAGAGGTCATGGGGCTCAACTCACATCGGCGCATCACAAACGAGTGAAACGATCAGCAACACTGACTAAGTCTGATTGGTATTTATTTATATCAAACGGCAGGTGTTTTGATAGTTATCATTACCCCTTCAGTTGACTTCAGGCTTCACAGAAGGAAAGGAACATCAAAGTGAAAAAAAGTCGAAAGGATGGGGGGGGGGAACAGAAGAGTGCTTCAAAGATGTAAAAGAGACAAACACAAAGGTGGAAAAAGGTGAGGTGAGAACTGTGGAAGTATTCGTATATGAAATACATTGGGGTCATGGTAGTTTGAAGTCAGAAGTCAATTGCCGATTAATAGACTTTTTTGCCGTATGAGTAAACGTTGCCCAGGATGCACCACGTGGAGGTAAGTCTAACGCATACCCCAGTCTGACTGAGTCACTCGAGTCACTCGCCAAGGAGGGGTGTTTGATAGACTTACCTCCACGTGGTACACCCTGGGCAACGTATGCTCATACGGCAAAAGTGTTTATTTTTCAGCAGTTGACTTCTGACTTCAAGCTATCATCACCCCACTGTATGTCATATTCTACTTCTGCCACAGTACTCACCTCAACTTTTTCTCCACCTTTTTGTCGGTTTCTTTTGCATTCGAGAAATAATTAAATTTTTGTGACTGACAATCCTACCTCTGTGAAGCCCAAATTCAGTTAAACGGATAATGATAACTATCATAACCATCATAAACAAATAAGTATCTTAGAAAAGTGTTGTATGGGAATTATTATTATTATAATAAAAGAGCACATATGGCCAAATGATATAATAATAGCGCTTGTTAACGGAACAGGTAAGTTGTTCCATCAATGATTTATGTTGAGAATTTATATGAAAAATAGACCATTAATTCAAGTTGTACTCTGAAGTTCTATTTATATGCTATGGTTAATCACCTAACTAAATTGTCTTTAGTTTGGTGATTAACTTTGGCTATAAATGGAAATTCAATTTGGTGATTATAAAGAGTGTTGAAAATGGGTATTGAATAACTTCCAATTATTTAAAACATGCACATGGAACCATCAGACCATATGCATAAGAAATCTACGCAACTTCTGGTTCCAAGGATTTTATGAGAAATTGAACATATAAAATACACTTTTGATCAGTCATTTATGTGACCGAAGCAGTTCAAAAAGACTTCCATGCTCTTTCTCTCGCTCTCTATTACAATTCCAGTATCAAGGCATGATAGACAAGGTTGTCGTGATAGACCAATGTAAGCCTTGAGAAAGACAAACTCACTACTTCTGGAATAACACCGAATTTCGAGGCAAAAAGGAAGACGGGGGGTGCTGTGGGTGCAGCAGCATACAAAAACGCGAAATTCGACTTGGCGAGGGAGACATTTCTTGGCTGATGCGCGGTCAGCATCTTTGTCACCTCACGAGTTATGAAAGGCGACAGAATGCTGCAGGAGAATAAAAAAATTAAAGTGTACTTCATTTATGTGAGAGGGCAATATACTGTGCTATCTGGGAAAAAATTAAGAAGGTGGAATAATTTTGTCATTTATCGAGCCAAGTGCATACTACTGCTGTCAGTTGTCACATTTGTGGCAAATTGAGAAAGAAATGATGTTCGTGTAGAAAAATTGGGGACTCAAACACATACTCCTAGGTACCATTTAAATTTCGAAGTGCAAAATCATCATAAAGAAAGAGATAAGTGATCGAAGATAAGCAAATAGCGAAGGGTACCGGGCGGCGAAGGTTAAAGAGATCCCATATAAAAAGAGAAGGGTAAATTAATATCAGATTCACATACAAAAGGAATAACAATATATTAAACAATCAATAGTCTACAACAAGCATTAAAAGTGCCCCCCCCCCACCTCCTCCTCCCCTCAATGAACTTCGATACACAACGTAGCACACCTTCAACATGTAGTTTGTTTTGCTGCAATTTTCTTATGAAATTTTAATTGATGTGATTGGATCAATCATGTTGTACTTGTTCACTTCCAGCTCGTCATTGTCGATGTGCAGGCTGTAATGCTTACAATACCCCTACTTTCTACACTCGCATATATAACTGGTTCCGTTGGTTCAGCCATGGCATTTGTTTGACGGTAAATTGATTTCCCCGACCTTCTTAGCAGACACGTGAAACCCCCCCCCCCCCAAACAGAGACGATTGCGACAATCACTATGATGTAGGTCACGGGACCACTTTTAACTAGGCCATTCCGAACGTCTTCATTGTCAACATGTGTAATTCTCGCTTCTGTTTCCTAATTACTGGACTCGTTGCCTGTTTCCATAGTGCGACTGAGATTGAAGTTGTTCCGTGTGGTTATATAATACTCCGTATTTACTGCTTTTAAAAAATAAATAAAAAATGAAACACTACTTTACCTTACTGTATTTACATGGAAACTCCTGTATAGGCCACTTTTATTGGCGAGACTCTGGAGAAAATGCGTATTGACTTTATGGAGAGAGTTTGGCCCCAAGCCAAATGACGAGAGTGGTTTTAAATTTATGAACCACGATTTCAAAATAGAAACAACGCGGCAGATTTTCGGTGGATAGAATTGGCAATATTCCCAATGTTGTCGCAAAAGACAATCATCATCCGATAATTCTAGAATTCATATACAATCAAACTTTCCAGGCTATCTTTAAATTTGTCCATTGCACATTGACCTTTCGGAGTTGGACAAATAATCTCGAATTGGTACATATCATCAAGAGAGCACATACCAGAATATGAGGTAAAAGAGAAAAACCATTGCATTTTGCAATCAGCATCGCATCACATCATAGTGAACTTAGATGACAATGAAATCACACAAAAGATAAAACGACCTCATACAACACGCACATTTATAAAATGCTAGCACCTGAACTCATTGAAAACCTAAACACAAACTTTGAGAAGATCGAAAAAAATAAAGATATATCTACCCGGAAATTACGGCCACAAAATCAAGTAGAAAATTTATGAATGAAGAGAAAAGAGTTTAGGCAGCCGATGAAATGCAATAGAAAACTATTGGCAAATGTGACCAATCTTTCTCTTCAAACTTTAAGACGCCAAATGGCCAAATTTAGAGGTGATTTAACTCTTATATTAAACACTGAATAAGCAAATCGATCGCCTCTCGTTTTTTGTGAAGATTTCCAATGAAATGTCGGTCTCATTTTTGTCCAGCCTTTTCTCCCATTAAAGTTTTTTTTCAAAAGAATTCGTTACACAATTGTTTTTGAGAAATTTACTAACAGTACTTTAAACGGTGAGCTCTATTTTAGGCAAAACAAAAAGACCAGAAGCATCGTCCCTTTGTTGAAGTGCTTAAAATTTGAAATAAATTACGATATGAGATTACAATAAATACACAATTAGACTCGTATTATAAGACCCAAAATATGCGCCAATAACAAAACTGAAAAAACATTTTATTTGTATAAACAAGAGAACGAAACTTACATCTTTGAGGTGAGAATAAAGACGAGAGTATAAACCCCACGCCTCTTAATATTCTTAAGCTTTCCCACCATGCTGAATCCGAGGTAAAATAGAGCAGTAGCATTAAAGGAAGCACCTTTTTGTTGAAAAGAAATGCAATGAAAGAAAAATTGACTCATGAATTATCTTCAATGCAGTGAAAAGCAGATTACCGAGATCATTAAAAAAGCCATGCAGCATGTCGGGTAATTTGTGTTTTAAAATAAGATTGAATACCACCCCCAGAACAGTCATGAAGAAGAGAGGATTTGAGGCAACAAAGCGTAATACCTAAGAAAATAACAATGTTAGATAAAATTGGAGATACAGTAATTTGGAATTTAATTCACTTTAAGAATCTTTCGAAGAGTTGCAAGCGAGGACCTTTGCGTGGGTTGTAACGTTCCCTGAGCCAGAACCGAGCTCAAGGCCAACTTTTCTTTGTTTCGGTGCCATTCAAGAGCAAAATATCCAAAAGGATTTAATATAACCAGTTGTGTCGGTGCAAATAGATAAATGTAGTGAGCCAAGTCTGGATAGAGAAGCCGTACTAAAAGAAAAGCACATTGAAGAAAATGAAGATGGAAAGACTAACTTACAAACTGGATATGCAAGTGCAACATCGTTTGATTGTGACACGAAAATTGCCATAAGACCAGCCGCACCAACCGATTTACCAAGAGAAAAGATAAGAACAGTAGCCATTGTGCAGAAAAATGCTATAGCTTTCCCAAGAGAAACAGACAAGACAAGATACCAATCAACATTAGAGAAGTCAATTGAAACCATTACCTAAACAATGAAAGAAAAAATTATTTCGACTCACTGTGAAGAAGATAGCCGGAAGAGCAAAAGATGTAACGTATATTCCCAAACCTTTAGCTTGGGAATGTGTTAGAAGTTTAAGATTTCCCGCAACAAATCCCAGTAAAATTAATCCAAAGCATTGAATAAGAACAGGAACCATGGCCTGAAACATACCATTATCAAGCTCCAATTTTTCTGTCACTAATTTCATTTTAAACTGTTTGCTGATCTAAAGTTTCGACTAAGTTCAAAAGCCAATCTTCGGGCATATACAAAAGGTCAGAAGCAGAAAAATAAAACCCCACACTGACCTTGGCATGTGATAATTAAGAAGTAGAATTAGCTAATTAAAAAAATATTGATCACCAAATTTAAAGCTATACTTAGATTAACAATAATCTCAAAAATTCGAAATAGCAATGAAATTTGAAGATAAATCACCCATAAGAAAGCCTCAAAATATGCAATAATTGATTTATCTACTAACAGCACATCTGCAAAAAGAGAAGAGTCTTCAAATTTCCACTTAAGAATTGCACGTTAAACTTTCATATCTTTGAAGAGAAAGTGAACAAAATATATCTTTGTTTACATGTACTCACAATCATTGCGCAGTTTAAACGCAACGTATTTCCTGCGTAGTTACAATTGAGCTCAATGTCAAGCCTTAAAACCGACGCATTGGAGGATTATAACCCTTTTGGGGATCCTTTGGCATCAGGTTAATACTTTTATTTTTAATTCGTTTTTTGATATATTTCCCGAATAAATTTTATTCCTTACGATTTTACAATTGATAATTTTAAATATATACATTCCCTTTTGCAGCCACGGTTACACTAGACCGTCAGCCAGCATTGTTACCACCTGCCGATACAAAACCACCACCTTCTTACTCTTTGGAGCCACAAATAACAGATGGAACATTGGAAGAGTCGCATTCCACATTTTTGCCTACTGGACCACCAGTTCTAACTGTCGCAGATCTTCAACGACGCCAAGCTGAACTTGATGCAAGGGCAGCCCAATTGGATTTGCGTGAAAAGCAGGCCCAACAACAGGAAGCTTGGAGGCTTGAACATGGCTATAGCACTGCTGAAGGTACCACTAGTTTTTCTCATTCTGGCTTTTTGTTTCTTCGTTTAGTTCCTAATTGGCCTCCTTTCCCGCGTTGGTGTTGTTTCAGGCCCATGGTTCACATTGACTTTAACTCAGATATACCATCTAATTGTCGTTGGATGGCTCAGTATGGGCATTACTTCTGGATGGCCTATTGTCTTCTTCTCCTTCTCAACGTGTTTGGAACTCTGAGCTATCTCATTGCTTCTAAAGATCTTTCCACCACAGGCCCTTTATTTGGTGTTTCTATTGCTGTATTTGCCATAATGTCACCGGCGAGTTTCTTCTGTTGGAATAGGCCTCTCTACAAAGCTCTTAAGTAGGCTCATCTATTTCAATAAATAAATAATGTTATATTGTGTCTATCCTTCAGTATATTTTGAACAGGTGTTATTTCTTTTCCTTTTAGGAAGAACAGTTCAATGCAGTTCTGTATATTCTTTCCTTTCTTTGGAATTCAAATCTTGATTATTGCCATTCAACTTCTTGGAATTGACTACCTTGGCGCTTGGTACGTTAATATAGTCGGTATTTTTATGCATCAAATTATTAATAATTTTTTGCTAATGGAGCGAATACAAACACAGTGAAGAATAAACTAACGAAATGAGTAGTTGGTAGCTTTAAATTCTATCTCCTCTCTCTTCATTTTTTTTTCTTATTTAATCAAGTTTAGGCGCCTTGTTTTCAGGGCTTATTTTCCAGTTGGTTAAGATTGTTGAGTGTTAGGTCATCGGTGCTATTGGCCTTTTTCTCTGTTATCCAATGGCAGTTTATTAGTATTAGACAAAGTACTTTTCCTTAACTTTGTTCTCCCGATTAAATGCCCTAGTTGGGATGAATTTATAATTGTCCAATTTAACATTTATTTATTAACTATTCGTGGATAGAGAGTACTAAAACTGTTTTCTACGAAGTTATTGTGAATTTTAACGGGATTTTTCTTGTGTAATATCAAGGCTACTCATTACTGTTCGCTGAATCTAGTCCGAGGTCGATATTTAATTTCCCACTTCTCGGTAATGCACCCGCTAGTACATGCCACTAATATTCCAAACTATAGATATTTTCATTAGATTGTTTTATCTGAGACTGTGCGTGACCCTTTAACCAACTACTTACGGGTCATTCTGTCGTTCTGTGCCGTTGAGAAGATCAATTTTTTGTTCTGCTGCCTGTTCATTAACCAATATTTATTCATTCATTCATTTTTTAATTAATAAATTTATTATTTATGGCGGGAGGTCAATGAAAGTTTGGTTATATCAATTCTCAAAGTAGTATTTGAATTTTTGATTGAATTAGTTGTTAAATTAAACGTATGGGGCAAGAAATTAGTCTTCCAGCATAATACGATAGCTTAATTCTCAACAGTATGCTTGTAAATCAAGAGAGGCTAAATAAATCAATTTTCCTAGAATTGACGTGAAAGTTGAGCAGAATATGCGACTTTTGGGAATGTGACGATTGTGACACTTCCGTTTTTTTAAATTAGTACGTGTCTAAGGTGGATTATTTATTTATATCAAATGGCGGACGTTTTGGTGGCTATCATTAGCTCTTTAGTTGATTTCAGGCTTCACAGAGGGGAAGGGACATCAAAGTGAAAAAACGTCGAGGGGGGGGGGGGGGAAGGAACAGAAGAGTTTCAAATACGAAGTTCGAAAAGGTAGAAAAAAGGTGAGGTGAGTACTGTGGAAGACGTCGAATGTGACATAGAGTGGGGTGATGGTATTTGAAGTCAGAAGCCAACTGCCGGTTTATAGACTTTTTTGCCGTATGAGTAAACGTTGCCCAGGGTGCACCACTTGGAGGTAAGTCTATCGTACACCCCAAGTAAGATTATAAACCGTGTGTGAAGCATTTGAATGGGGGTATTGGTAGGATTGGTTCAGAGAGACCATTATGAAAAATTTTTAAATTTTTTAATCACAACTTTCCTCCCCATGCTAGGGGCGAGGTGTCAGTTGACCAAAATAATGTTAAACCAATTAATAGTCGCAAACAGCTATATTAGTTGGCACTAACTTGTTTGCCATATTTTCCTTTCTCTCAGCGGATGGATAAACTCCTTGAAGCAATTGAGTGAAAATCGCACCACTGCATCATTCATGCTCTTCATAGCCGCTCTCTTCACAGTAGCTGCAGCTGCCGCCGTTTATCTCATTTTGCGGGTAAGTAATTTGTTCTACTTCTCACTAGCTATCATCTCTCCTTATCCACAGGCTAAACTAGCTCAAGAATGTGGGCTCAAAACCACTCGCTTTAAAATGAAAAATCAACCGAACCTAGGCAGCATTCTGGTATAAAAAGCAATACGTCTATTTAAGTGGCAGATTTGAGGTAGGGTTGTGGGATCATCTTGTTTACTACCCTTCCATTAACTATACCAGGTTACCATGACTTAAAACGAGTAAATAGATGGAAAGGACGGAGGGAGCATGGAGCAGGTAGCCAATGAGACTATACGGACTCAAAAATTGCTCTCTCATTGATTGGCTATGAGCTGAGCTCAATTTACATCTGCTAATAGAATACTCACTCGATATCTTGTGTCATTCAATGACTTCTAGCTATTATATCCAAATTGATTGTTGATGGAAGTCAAGTGTTGGCAGTGAGGGATGAACCGTAAGGAGTGGACCTAGTGCCTGAAGAAAAACACATATGATCGCAGAGTTTGGTGGTAGATACTGAGCATGACCACGCTCACTCTCCCCCCTCCCCTCCCCTCCTTCAACTTTTTATGGTATTTACCACGAAAGATGTCCATCACGTTAATTAGTCAAGGGGTAGCAAATTAAAAAGGGAATTCTAGAGGGGTAATGGGCTGTATCGATTCATAAGTCCTGCGTGCTGTTGCAATTAGTAGTTTCAACTGTTAGACATTATGATGTAGAAGGTGATGAATAATTAGTCCAAGCAATGATTAAATAAAGTTATGAGGTGTTAGGGGACTCGACTTGGTTACCAAACCGCAGAACTATCAAATGAGATCCGCAGAAATTTGTTCTAATTTGAGGATGTATTTCTTATCCGTTCTACTTTGTGAAATTCTACACCTAAAGGCGTTTACTCATTGTGCTTCCATTTCGAAAGTCAAATTGAATATCCTCACTTGTTACTTTAGGTAAGATTGGTGTAAGTGTAATCTCGTCGCTATTGAATTTACTATTGGCTAATAAGGTAGCCAATCCAGCCCTACTTATCCAAATCGACATTATCTAATTTATTTTCTTTAACAGGAAATCGCTGTTTGAATAACCGATCGTTTGCCTCGCTTTACCGACTGTAATCCTTGTGTAATTTCAGCAAACCCTCATGACATATCTCCTGACAGCTTAGATTATATTGGTGACTAGCTCGCCGTTTAACATACTCAAATGCCAAGGTCATTAGTTAAAGTGCGAGTACATTTAATCAACCATATCATAGTACTTTCCTTATGAATTCAAAATTGACTTTTCGTCTTACTGCTCTTAAATAAGAGCGTGTGTGTGTGTGTGTGTGTGTGTGTGTGTGTACTTTATCGATTTTAGTATTACTATTTTGTAGTGGTTGGAATGTTCCATCGTGTACACATTATCGGAGGCAAATCGGTGATTGTAACTTTTACTGTATTGGCTTAGTAGTTGTGGGTAGCATTGCCAAAAAATATTTATCGCTGATTTGACGTTCCTGTAGTCATCCTATCTTTTGTTTAGACCTTTTCCTGGGAAAAATGGAGAAATAGATTTGATTGATTGACTGATTATGGCTCAGTGCTACTCAAAATTCCCTTACAATTTATTCACGTGAGAGAGCAGCTGAAGTTGAGTAATGGTAACTAGTCCTACAAGAGGATAAAGTGGGGAGGGGGGATCAAAATAATGCTGAGAATAATTATTTCGTAAAATTTTTGGTTTGGGACACGATCTTAGTCGGCCTCCGGGATGTTGACATCGAGCAGCGTTCACTCAAAGTGAGCTCATATTTGAAATGGAAGCGGTAATACTTGGAATAACACCTTGAAAGGAAAGTGTAGAGCTTAAAATGTTCAGCTACCTACGTCTTAACTGTTATCCTGTTAATTCGATTATATATTTACAAGTTCTTTTTTGTGTGTTTCTTCCCGCTCCCAACTGCTGGCGCGGAATTCGTTATGCGTATAATCATTTACTCGATCGGGGAAATGCTTATTGATTTCCCAATAGCTTCGCTATTCACCTCTGCAAATATTCATCAACCGCCTGTCGCCTTCAGATACTTTAATTTTTAAGTTCTTAGAGCTGGGTAGAGCGATAGTTTGACATGCTTTCCTTCCCTTCAATGGTGATTATTAACTTCGTTTTTTTGAACCGATTGGAAACAAAATGCATATCTGAATGGGACTCTAAAGTCTAGAGTTTTTCATTGCTTGCATAGGTAACAACCGTTTATTCTACTTTGTGCAGTTTCTTGCCCAGCAAGTTACATTACGCTTTAGTCTTTATACTCTTACTTACTCTTCTACTTAATACCAAAAGTAGCGCCTTATTTCATGTTTTATAACCTAGGTACACATGTTCTACCGCAATTCTGGCGCAAATTTCCGCCACGCAAAGCAGGAACTAGCACATGACGTGGTTGCTGGCAGCTTTGCTACCTAAAGTTGAATTTGAGTTCCAATTTCGACCTAGTTGACATTTCATTGCTCTATGCTTACCCAATTTGGCTGTGCTGTATAACTTCAACTGACCCTTCCCGTTTTTGTTATAACTTATTCCACAGATTGGGTTTTCCTTCCTTCTTGTTTCACACTCCACCATCATGCACCTTTTTTGCATTGCTTAATGCACATTTTACCCCCATGTAATTAATTAACTACCTTAAAGATGTGTTTGGGTACTTTCTCTTCATCTTACAGAGAATGACGCTTGAAGCGTTTAACTTTGAGGCTAAGCTTTAAGAGAATATTGTCAGTCAAATTTGTATGCTTTTGTTGATAGTTTTTACCCTCGGGGGGGGGGGGGGGGTTCACCTTGTATATGGCGTATTGCCAATAGTTAAATAGGGGTTGATTAAATCTGCCACACAGGAATGCATTTCCAGTCATGAAAAAGCATCATAAGATTTTTAGCACAAATAGGAGTTTTTTATGAATGGATCTCCGACCAGTACCACTTTATCTAGAAAACTGACCATTTTGCAAGAGTGCAGATAGCGTCAATAACGGTTTGTGGTATGATTTAGTAGTTTCTCAGTCTAATTTAATATGATACAAAGGTTGGGAGTAATTTGAGTGAGCAAGAATTCGAGCGGAAGATGTGGCCTAGTAAAATGGAAGTGAAGTAAGGAATGTCGTGACGATTGAACTAAAAAGAGTGAACGATCGCGAAAAGCATGCATTTGGGTAGAATTAAGGCAGGATCTCTATGACCAATTTGCTCTCAATTGGTCAAACTTATGACTACCAAGAGTTTCAAATGCCCTGCTGAAATCGCTGCGTTAATCAATTTATTGCGTTGTAATTTTTATAGGAGAAATTAAAAAAATTATGAGGATAATTAAGGTGATTGCTTACCCTGATTGAGAATCCCACATTTATTTATTATATGCTTTTATTAAAACACAAAGATATGTGTATATGCATATTGTTAATGTAATTTGGTTTTGATACAATCAAGAAAGTAAAATGCAATTAACTCCTTAACTCACTTCATAAGGAAATAAATTTTATATACTGATAAAATAGGCGTTTGGATATTGGAAAATCCTCTTTTTGAGATTTTAATGTCGTTTTTAATTGCAGTTCAATGTTCTACGCTATGTAGCGTGACATGATGCACTTAGTCTCAATTTTATTCAATATTTATTCATGTTTCAGAAGTGATCGTGGCATTAATGAACTTTGAACCAAAATATTAGATATCGGAATCAATTAGAAACCTTTAAAAATATAAACTTGAGATTGAAATAAAGAACAATAAATGTTGAGTTTGTAGCGACTTGTTACACTAATAAGCCCTGACTATACTCAGAAATTTCTATGGCAGTTTCCCCTATGTTTAGAAAGACTCCCAGACTTAGCTAAGCTGCAGCAAAGCTATTGAGGAAACCGACGTATCACGTGGAACATGTTTATTACATACGCAGAACTTAGTCTTGATATACACTTTTTAAAATATTAACCGCGTGATGACTTGGGTCATTGGTTGGTCGGAAAATCACATACTGGCTCTGACCGTTGATTGGTCAGGAGGCCTCTAGTTTCGTCATTCTAAAGTTATATTCACCACAGGTTAAATTCGTCTTGTTGTAGACCTTAATAGATGCCAACAACTCACCGTGTCATTAAAATGATGAGATAGCAATTAATATGAGGATGTCACCACTCGCCTCTTGAATTTTGACATTTCTAGCTTGTTCTCGTCTTCCGAATGACTCAATCAGATATGTGATTTGCAAAATATTAACAGTTACTAACATTTAATTTCGAAAACTGCCATTGGGTGCAACTATTGTCATTGGTCTTCAAAGCCCAGCTCCTTCATAGGGCAGGCACTCCCATATTCCATGGATTTGGCATCAAGGAACCACCAATCCCAATCCGAATTATGCGAAAACGGTCCAACTACTTGTCCAAATCAAAGCAGCGTAATAAAATGGATCTTTAATTAAAATTAATAATGCATTTTCTAAAATATTTCTTCTACAAAGGTCTTCAGATTTATTATTAAAGTACCCAATTTGATCAAACGATTTTCTTAAATGGTGTATTATTATAAATTTGAATAAAAATGTATCGAAAGTATGTAACTGTCACATATCTATTGCGACAATAAATTCATTTAAACCATCTAATTCCTCCGGTATTTGAAGCTCTGATAACGCAGTTGGTGATGGTGGAAACGGTAGCTCTTCACTAACTGATGTCCAGTAATCGGAATCCAAGAGGATTGTCCGTTGTGATACTTCTAGTCCGCAACAGATCGTTTTGAAGGTCTTTTGTGGTCTCTCATCGCGTAACCTACGGCTCACAGCAGCCAGAAATTCCGGCTGTACTCTCTCCTCTATGCCAATGATCACACTACATCGAGAAAGCAACCGAAGAATCTAGAAATAAGACGAAACCAAAAATAGTGAAACTCATTATTATTTTTTTATCTTGTGGTTGAAATGAACCTGCATCCAAGTAATTATCTCCGATATAATATCTGCATTGAGAAAAAATTTAAATCACGCTGACAAAACTTTGTTCTAGAATTCATTTTTCCGTTTTCATCAAGATTTAAACACCTTGTGCACCAATCAATGTAAACTTGTGATCTTGTTGGTCCAAACTGTGGAGCAGGCCTGAATACTGAGTGGAAATCAAAACCAGGCGACTTATGGTCATCCGTCGCCTTCTCCCTTGGTGGAGATTTCAGGGTCATAGACAAGATGGCTGCTATCTCTACTACTCCTACTCTTTAGTTCATGGTGTTATTTTTATTTTGCATATATCTCATAGACTTTGAGGCCTTCCATATTCACCTGCCTCAACAATACGATGTGCCTTAAGAAGACTCATTTTACACGCTTCCTAAACAGACTTTTCAACACTAAACAGTCTTATATACTAACAGTCTTATACTAACTAATAACTCATTCATCTAGGGTCCCAAAATCCCAAATGATTGAATATTCATTTCATCGCTAATTTTTACTCTTCTCTGAGTACCCATTTGCAGTTTCATAAATCGTATTTCGTGTAAACTTGTCTCACAACAATTACTATTCCAATGAATAATAAGCGTTGAAAATTAGCATATTATCAACTTAAGATTGAAATTAGAAAAGCTAAGGTAAAGTAGCTTCCTAACTCACAAGGTGAGAGCTGAGCCTTACTTTCACAATACACCAACTACAAAAAAATATGCTACTTAAGATAGATATCTTTCATCTTAAGATAATGTTTCAGAAATTAGTTAAAGTATGCTGTAAGTGAGACCACGTGTATATGATTCAGTGCGCACGTATTTTACTGGGCAGAACATCCTTAAGGAGACTTTTACAATGCGCTCTCAACAATTTCGTGCGGCCAAAGGTAACTATCGCTTTGCCCCCCCCCTCCCCCAGTCAACCACTTTGCTCAAACTTCATCGACCGCCCATAATTTAACATTTTTCTCCGCTTTACCGTTGACTCAAAGACAATTTTGTTTTTTCCCCTTTGAGGAATAAGTTTAATTCACACCCAACACTCAAAACCCACTGAAATGGTGATTTGGACGCGCGTCTTCACACTAATGATTCGGCTTACTAATGTGTGTAATTTATTCCAGGTTTGTGGTCTTCTAGCATTCGCCTGTTTTGAAGCATAGCTGCTCATGAAAATACAGACGGATTAAATTCAAAATCGAAGGGTATGCGATAGACTTGCCTCCATGTGGCGCACCCTGAGTAAGGTATACTCTTACGGCGAAAAAGTCTATAAATTGGTAGGTGACTTCAAACTTCCACTGTGCTCAACTTACCTATTTTTCGACCTTAGTGCCTGTCTCTTTTACATATGTGAATTACTCTTCTGTTTCCCCTCACGATTTTTTGTGTATTTGATGTTCCTCCTCCCCTCTGTGAATCCCGAAGTCAACTAAAGGGCTAATGATAGTAATCGCAAAGCCTG